ATATATATAGGGGTCCAAAAAATGTACTCACTCTTTGATAGTCAGTATCTTTGGAACAAAATGACATGTAGTTACAATTCTTGTGCGGCGAGAGAGAGAGTCATTATATGTGTTTGAAGTGTCCGCCATCAGCGGCTAAGCAGCATTGATGCTGCCGAACTGCTGAGCGAACTACTGCTGTCTGTGTCCGGTGTGATGGCTGCACACGATGCTCTGATGGTTTCTCGTAGCCCATTCAGTGTTGATAAACTTCATCCTTCAAGGTTCCCCGTAGGTAGAAGTCGAGAGGTGTTAGGTCTGGAGACCATGGTGGGTATTCAGTAGCACCTCTTCGACCTATCCATTGTCCAGGTAGAGTGTCATCCAAGTACGCCCTGACATCTCGATGGCAGTGAGGTGGAGCACCATCTTGTTGTAGGTAAAATCTCTCATCTCCAAACAGCTATCGAATGGTAGGGAAAATTGATGTCTGAATCATATCAAGATACACCACAGCACTGGAAGCTGGACTTGTTACTATCTGTGGTTGCCCAGATCTTTGCTTATGCACGTCATGAACAGTACTGTCGGCTTCAAATTTATCCCAAATATGGGCAATTGTTCGATGTGTTGGACATGTTCCAAACTCATTCTGCCATTGTCGTCGTACCTCTTTAATGTTTTCGTACTTCCAGTACCACTTCCATACAGTCTTGCGTTGCTCAAAGAACAACCTTTCAGCGATTCTTGCTGCTGTCTTCTGCTCACAGTGCGCATGCGGCACAACACTCATATGACTCATGTGGCCTTCGCCATCTGTTCAGAAAACATTACACTACACAACCGTGCAAGAATTGTAACTACATTTCATTTTGTTCCAAAGATATTGACTATCAAAGAGTGAGTACATTTTCTTGGACCCTCCTGTATATGCCAAGTTTTATTAAAATAAAAAATTCAGCTGCCTCCATGCAATTATTGATTTGGCATGAAGTGGCTCATTTATAAATTTCTAATGTAGAAGTTGCCGCTTGTAGGTTAACATTTTCTTAATGTGATTGTAAGTTGTTTCAAATGCCCAAAAGGTGTCCAGAAGATCATGGTAACTGGGACATCTCTCCGGACAAGCAGAGAGGCCCTTCGACTAACAAGGATTTACCCAGGAACCTTATATTCAACAGCAGGTAGTATGACTTATAAATCTTTAAAAAACAAGATAGGAAGTAAATACATTGGTAAAAAGTAGTTGTGTTTAACTTTGAGGCAGTATGAACAGATAGAACAGATAGAATGTGTATGAAATTAAGGCACATGAGTTGAGGTTTTGAAACCAATTGCTCTACATAAAGGTATTGACCACCTCAAGAGCACTGAAATAAAATGGGGCAGCATCATATAATTATATAATTTAATTGGAAAAAACAAAACAGAAAAACATTCCATTTAGTGTAATTGTGTAGTAAGGATGGCCAATGAATGACTTTGTAGGCAAGTTTTATGAATAAACCAGCAGGTAGGAGAGGGATAGGGACAGGAAGAAACTGGACAGATGACATGTAAGTTTTGTGTATGAAGTTTGAAAAGTCCATGATTTCTCACCCATGTGGCCAGTAAGGGTAAAGTTGTCGCTGTGCCTAAATGACATGCCTAAAGTGCATGCAGATTTGTGGAGATCAACATACATGAATTCTAAATCTTAGTGCTAGATACAGGTAAGTGATCAAATTCATTCACTGTTTGTTTTGTCCCCATATGAAGAGGCATAATTTCTTGTTGGATGGTGACTGCATTGGCCCCAGGGATGGTCTTTATGTGGGGAAGAAGGGAAAATTTCTTGTTTGTCTAGGAATCAGATGCAGCCACCCAGCCTGTAGCATTGCTGTATTCACTGGGCTCCCATGCAGATGAAGGAAAGAATTTGTTTATTTTTAGACATATGCAGCACAACAATTGTGCCTGGTTGGCTTAACTGATCTGCTTGTCCACCTTTCCATGTTCCACATGTGATCTGCAGTAAGGGATTGTAATGAAGTTTTGCAGTTTCAGTGTCAGTGTCTACAGTTAATTCTTTCAAGTGACCATTTGATTGCAATCAGATGTTAATTTCTTTCTACAGGAATCCATCCTCATGATGCAAAGTCATGGACAGAAGGTTACCTTGAAGAATTGCGGGAAATTGTCATGAACCCTGAGTGTGTGGCTGTAGGCGAGTGTGGTTTAGATTACAATCGTGACTTCTCACCAGTTGATATTCAGAAAGAAGTTTTTGAAAAACAGGTATGAGAACTGCTTTAGTCCATCTTAAAGCAAATAATAACTATTTCCTTATACTTTCATCATTTACAGTCATCCTGACATTCAACATTGTAACTTCTGCTGTTGAAAGTGCCTAATTAAATAATCCAGCAATTTGTAATTATTCTTATCCTGTGATGTATTGTTTCTGTTACTCTTCCAGCAGCACTGTAGTGTTCATTAGTTTTTATTGTGACCAGAACTGGATGAATATATGACCTGTACTGAATTTTAGTTTTTTACTGCATTTTGAAAAAAAAAAGAATTGTATTATTATTATTATTATTATTATTATTATTATTATCATCATCATCATCATCATCATCACTCCCAGTTGTCTTATCTTAGTATCTAGTTGCTAATAGTATTAGCAACATTCATAATAATTCATAATTCCTAATGTATGTATATATTTAAGTCTTCTTTAGATTTATGCTCACAGATTTATTTGTCATATTTGTATTTTGTTTAATTATTTTTCTGTACCTTTATATACTCATACTAACTTTTTAATTAGCCACTGTGCTGTTAAGTTATTGCACGTAAATAAACGTGAATTGAATTGAATAATTGTACTGCTGTGTTTATAATAGGTCATTAGTTAAACACTACTGGACTGCTTTAGTGTACTTTATCATTGCATTCCATTTGATGTTAAACAGCCTCTTCAGCTGTTGCAGTGTAATTATGTAGTATATCGGGCCTGCTGACCTCATAATTTCAGGTTCAGCTTGCATGTGAGCTTGGTAAGCCCCTCTTACTGCATGAACGAGATGCCCACCAGGATTTACTGGACATTCTCAAGATTTACAAGGACCATTTGCCTGCTATGGTTGTTCACTGCTTTACTGGCACGTCTGAACAAGCACACAATTACCTGCAAATGGGAATGTATCTGGGTATGACAGGTATGTAGGTGCTAGAAGTGAGATTATACATTCCTGATTGACCTTGATCATCGTCTAGGATTAGGCCTTGTAATCTCTTCTCCTCCTCCTCAACCCCCTTCTCATTTTATATTAGGCCCTATGGCCTCTTGCCATCAGATCATTAATCTGGAATTGTGGAACCTTATAGATATCTATTAGGGCTCAGCCCTGCCACAAGGTCACTACCTATGCAGGACAACTCAAAACCAGAATAAACACAGATAGACATCCATGCCTTGTATGGGATCCAAACCCACAATTCTCTTGTTTGAGTGGGGGAACGCATTTCATGCCTTAATCCATTCAGCCACTGTGATTGTCATGTTCTCTTCTCTCCATTAAAATCTTAAATCTCATCATCATTTGTGTCTCTGTTACATTGAAGCTTGGGTAGAACAAACGTGGCTTATAACAAGGACTTTATTATATCATCAGAAACCATTGGAAGTGTCTGTTTCTTAACGTTATACATTGAAAACCATCATATAAAGTGAGGAGTTTTTTCTGTTGCATTCCTGATGAGTTAATCCTAACTAGCCTTCGCTATTATTGTTGCTATTTCTGGAGTTATTTATGGCTAGCAGTCCATAAAGGTCTTCTTAACCCAACCTCCTAAAATAACAAAAATTCAAGATATCTTTAGTACAGGGCACACATCTGATGGAGTTAACAGAAAACAGTGCTCTGTTGAAAGAAGAAAGACCACTTGTAAAGTAAGTTAGAAAAATTCCATACATACACTCTCAAAAAAAAAAAAAGGTAAACCTCTCCCTGTAACAGGCTGTGGAGGCTCATAGGATTGTGAGATGTTAGGCTCTCCCATTTTCTAGACAGTTGGCTCACAGATGGCAGTGAGGTCAGCCTTACTTGCCATCCGCCCTTTACCCCCCAGGAGGATTCCTGGTACTCATTTCTGTTAGAGGCTGAGTCGACCCCAGGGTCATAGTGCAGCTGGAAGGATTACGTAAATTGAAAAATCCAGTGACCTCAACAGGAATTGAACCTGTGACCTTCTGGCTTGTAACATAGGGCCTCAACCAGCTGTGCTACTATGTGCGCCACATATACAGCCTTAGTAAGCAGAAATTAGAAATGAATGATATTGTCACGTGTTGGGTATATGTCACGCGACAAATAACTTCACGCCGTCTTGGAAGTAGCGAATTTATTCCACTTGCTCTTACATTTACACAATTTACAGTTTCACAACTACTGCCATCTGCAGTATCATAATTACTTCTCCTGCTGGAGTCACTGCCATTCACTCGATACAATTCAATAACAGTGGACTTCAACTCACTCCGGCAAATGCTAGACTGCAACTGACTGGTTACTCCCTCTCAGAGTCAGAGTCAGAGTCACGTTACCACTGACAACACAGAAAACAGTTACGTGATAGCTTTCACTGTTGCGTGACGTCGTGTTTACCGATTGCCTAGCAACAGTCGCTGCACAGGCTCCCCTGTTGAGTGATGCCGTGTTTACGGGCATTGCTAGGCAACACTGCCAAGAATTGTTTATTGCTGTGTAGCAACCAGCGCGCTTCGGCTTGGCTTAGCTCAGCTCACTTTGGTACGGAGAAACACAACTTTCTTTACTGTTGCGTAACTTGGCAATCAACTGTTTATCAAGTGTCTGTCTTCATGGTAACTTGTTCCACTTCCTGTTGCCCAGCAATGGTTAGACATGTCACAATGTATTTTCAGACATAAACAGTCATATAGTTTATTTGATATTTCAAACACATTCACCAGATGGCAGGATGCTAAAAGCTGTACCCACTTAACAACCCACAAATATTTTTCTGTCAGTTTCCAACACTCCAAGCAGTCACATCCCTTTGATGTACTTCACCAAGACCAAAAATCTAAGTCATATAACACACAAGAATTCTTAATCACCTGTACCATTAGTTCATAATTAGTCTACATCTAATTACAGATAAACCCACAACATGTTATAACAATAGTCACACAAGCTGCATACTATCATGCACCTGCAATATACATTAAAACTACAATGATGAGACATTAAAAAAAAACTTTCAATATCCATGAACAGAAAAACTTATAGTAATACATGTAACAATTTATAAGGTTCTCTTATTTTATCACCTGTTATTACCATTTTAACATTACGCACCAATGGTCAGTATTGAAGACAGAAGCACATAAATCTAATTCAACAGCATATCTACAAGAATCTCATTATTGCCTACTTTTAACATTACTATTACCTTTATGTGCTAGTCTGAAAGAAGGCCGATATTTGAAGTCTAATAATGACGGTTTTATTCTTACACATTGTGTGTATGTGGGCCGTGCCATAGCTCAAGCAGTTAGTCGCTGGCTTCCCACCGTGGCGGTCTGGGTTCGATCCCAGGTCTGGTCAAGTGGGATTTGTGGTGGACAAAGTGGCGCTGGGGCAGGTTTTCCCCGAGTACTTCGGTTTCCCCTGCCAATCTTCATTCCACCAGATTCTCCATCATCATAATCACCCAGGGCACGTACAATAGGCTACTACACTACATTCATGTAGTTGTAAGTGCCCTTTTGTTTTCATTGAGTGATTCCTTGGCTGTCAATAAGTGTCACTTATGCTCTTCTAACACTTGAATTGCCAAAACCTTAAGTGGGGGATCCTCATGTCAAAGCAAAGCAGGGTACTTACTGCATGACATGTTTCGTGACTCTGCTTTCTGAAAACGAAGTGTGCAGACGTGTGGAATACCCTTTATCTTTTGTCTAAGGTGTATATTATTCAGTTTTATTTATATATCCCAGGAAGTTTATTTGCATAGAAGAATATGGTAATATATGTTTTTAGGTGACGTAACACTTTATATGTAAGCAGTAATCATAATTACCTGAACATTACATTGACTTTCATGAGCTTGCACAGTTGCAAAATATTTTTTTTTTCGTCCTAGAAGCACATTCCCAAATAATCACCACTTATTTCTACATTATGAAACTGAGTGTTTAAAATTTATAGTTTATCATTAATGTGTAACTATACGAGTATTCCTTCTTCAGTACTGAATGAGTTGGCTCAAATGGTAATGCTTGTCGGAGATGACCACTTCACTTGGCTGGGACACCAACTGTGTGTATTGTGGTTTTGTGTAGTTTTCCTCAGTCACATCAGGTAAATTCTGTGACAGTACCTTGAAATAGGCTGACCACACTGACCTCTTGGCATTTCCTTTCATGCTCAGTGAATGTGAAGATCCTATTATATCATTTAATGCCTAATAATTTCTGCATTTGATATGTCATTAAATAACTTTCCATCCTTTTGTTTTCTGTTATTTTACAAACTTTTTATCTGAATGAAAGAATTTATCTTGCCATTGGCTTATAATTTTAATTTAGTTATCAGTAAGTCTTATCTTTTAACCTTTGAAGGATTACATTTCTTGCGCCTTTCCTGTGTGTAAACATCTCTTGAGAAACCAGTCATATCTTAACACATATGGCGACCCAGTGATGGATGTTATATGTATGGGGATCAGGCCTACTCTGTTAGAGAAGTAGATCAGAGTGTCTGTTGCAAAAATTGTCCCACAAAATTAATGTTTTCATCTGTAAACAACAGTTTCGGTGTTAAGATTTTGATCATCACTGTTTTTTTATTACTCCATGTATTTTGCTGGAATCATATCAGCTGTGAAATTTGAAAACTGCCTTTGTAGAAGATATCCTAATACATCTGTGATCTTGTTTGTGCATGTGCAGGTTATCTTTGTAAAGATAGGTCTGACAATGGAGTACGTAAGGTACTGGAAGATGGACTCATTCCCTTGGACAGACTCCTGGTGGAGACAGATTCCCCATTTATGTATCCTAACACACGTGCTTCCAAGCTGCCAACTCACGTCAGGGAAGCTCTGACTGAGAGGTTTGTAGTTCACACATTCCGTAAGTCATTGTTATTTTGCGCATGTACAAGTGTATGAGCCTAGGATAATACTCATACCTAACAGAGGAACTGGAGAAAACTGCATAATGAGAAGCTTCGTAATTTATACTATTATTAATGTTGTACTATTGGTGTGATCAACTGCATTGCTGTGATACTATACTGAATCTGACCAAGCATTTATTGCCATATAGTCTGCATTCAACTTTAATCCACATCAAGAAATAATCTCTCTTTGTTGCATAATTTGACTTCATTCGTAGGGCTGTGAAAATCCTTTTTATTGTGTTTTTTTGTTCATATTTTTACCTTAAAATTGCATTGTTTTAGGAAAATGGTGAGAAAGTAATATGAGGCAAAAGGGTTAAATGGGATTTATGGGCAGGTGGAATACATGTAATGCATGACGAAAGCAAGAATTTTGTGCAAGGTTTCACAGAACCCTCATAGGAAGAGACTGGTTAAGATACCTGGATATATAGGGAACAGTTGTTTTAAAATGTACTTTGGAGAAATAGTTTGAGGATGTTGAGTGGATACATGTGACTCAGATGTTTTTCACTTTCTGTTGTTTAAGGTCTCTGACCTTTCTACAGAGGTACTGTACCTTCCAACGCAATGAGCCTTGTTCACTGCCTGCTATTGTAGAAATGATTGCAGCATTTATGAAGAAGCCTGCTGAAGAGGTGGCTCTTGCAACGGCCTTCAATGCACTCAAGATTTTTGGTCTCTCTCAATGACCTGGATCTTTCCTAGGCTCATGGCATTACAGAGGCAGCCCAGTAATTCATTCTTCTAGTGTAGTATGTTCTGTAAATAGTCAACCAGGGTGTGGAATTCATATGGTTACCATCTGATCTTCTCAGAGGATTAACTTCTTAGTCTTAAAACAAAAACCTTGTGGTGAGGTTGTAAACCTGTGTCTGCATATTACATGCTTAAAATCACATGATGCCTTTGAAAGAAATTTTGTATGGAAGATCTGTACTGAACGTTGTTGGGTTCATTTAATTTTGAAGGTTACTGTTTTCTTTGTGAGAGATGTCACCGCACAGCCTAGTAGAAAGTTACCTGTGTTTTGAAAGAACCTCCTGTTGCCATCTTCAAAATAGAAATTTCTTCTACCCTGAAGACGGAGTGGCGGGTTCCCCTGAAACATTGTTAACTTCCTACAAGACTTTGTAGTGCAACATTTTTTTTTTTTTTGCTGGCTCTACAGCCCACTTGGGCCTGTCCTCTCATCTTCATTTTCATGATCATTTTAGAGGTGGTAGGACTCCTTGGACGGGTGATCAGCTCATTGCAAGGCCTCTATCTAAACACAGGATAACACAAACAGAATAAACACATACACATACCAAGCATCCATGTCTTGTGTGGGTTTTCAACCTCCAACCCCGGCTTCCGAGCAAGCGAAGACAGTACATGCCTCAGACAGCTCAGCTGCTGTGACTAGCAGTGTAACATTTTAGAACACGGTAATTATTGTATTCATCACTGTGAAAATTTCAAATATAATTTGATTTTGCTTCATATTGGTTGTGTCATCTACTGAAACGTAAGGAGACAGCTTGCCAACATTTATCCGGTCACAATTTTGAGTTTCAGAAGATAAAGGGAATTGCTCTAGGTGAATAGGTGCGTAATATTATTCATTGGAGCCTAACCTGTTTGCAGTGAAGTCTCTTGAAATCAGTTACATCAATACAGAATAAAACTGTTGACAGTTTTATTGTGGGTCTGCGTAATCAGGGAGTGATGTGATGAATGACACAAATGGTCACTGTCAATGAGTCAGTCAATCCAGTCACTCAGTCATCCCCCCAGCACTACAGTCCAGGAAGGACCCTGGCCTCTCATACAGCTTTCGCTCTTTCTTCCCTATCCAAGGCCTGTCTCCTCCAATCTTGAAGTCCAAGCACTTCCAGGTCCTTGGTGACATCATCCAACCATCTCTTTCTCGGCCTGCCAGGTTTCCCCCTGCCCACAGGATGTTGATCAAGAATCTTCTTAGGAACTTCGTTCTCCTTCATCCCCACCACATGACCCAGGTATTGCAGCCTCCTCATTTTAGCCTCCACTTCAAGTTCAAACTCCCTGTAGAGTTTATAGTTCTTGTAATTCATCCTGATGCTCCACTCCCCCTGTTCACAAACTGCACCAAAGATCTTGCGAAGGACCTTACTCTCCCACACTTCAAGCTGGTTCTTGTCACACTCTGTGAAGATCCACGTTTCGCAACCGTATAACACAACTGGATGAATAATAACATGGTACACAGTGAAATTTAGTTTTCTAGGGAGCATCGAAGCCTTTAGGAGCCTAATAATGGCATGGAAGCATCTGTTTCCAGATGGTATTTGTGCTCTTATCTCTGCACTGACCTCATTGTCTTGAGACACAGGTGCTCCGACATATCTAAATTTCACCTCTGTCTTGTCTATTCCCTTCCCATTCTGGGTCTTCATACCTTGGAATCTCCCCTTCTCACTCATGTTCTCTGTGTCCTTTGTCTTGTCTGTGTTTATCCTCAATCCTAGATGTCCCGAACCTTCACTCATATATTGCAAAGCCTCTGTAAGGGTTCCTGTATTTCTTCCAAGTAACACGTCATCAGCAAATGCCATGTACTGTAAAGACCTTGTATATATGGTTCCTTGCAGGTTCATTGGGATCCTTCTCATTAAATGTTCCAAGCACGGGTTAAAGAGGTTTGTGGACAGTGGATCACCTTGTCGGAGACCCCTCCTCACCTTAATCTCTCTGGTTAGCTGTCCCTGTATCTTGACCCTCGCCCTAGTGCTCTGCAAAGCCATGCAGAAAAGATTACTTATCTTTCTCGGCATCTGCATCTCCAGCACCTGTCTCAGCTTTTACCTGCCTCCTTGTAGTCAACAAATAGTAGGTGGATATTGACATATTCATAGCACTTCTCCAAAATGAGTCACAATGATGAAATATGTTCTGTTATAGACCTATTGTGTCGGAATCCATGCTGATACTCCCCCAGCTGTGTCTCTGCGTAGGGCTCAAGTCTCCTCACCAGGATCTTAGAGAAGATGGTATATAATAAATTCAGTAAGGAAATACCACAGTAGTTATTACAAACTGTTTTGTCACTTTTCTTATAAATTGGGCAGGTAACTGCCAAACTCCAATCTCCAGGCATCTCTTCACTCTCCCATGCTGATCTGATCAGAGTATATATACTTTTAATCAGTTCCTCTCCCCCATATTTAAACAGCTCTTCTGACAAACCATCTTCTCCTGGAGTGCGGTTATTGCGCATAAAAGTCATTGCTTCCCTCACCTCCTCCCTTGTAATCTCTGGCGCAGGTCCTTGTTCCCCAGCACCATTCATTTGACCATTTACCACCTTGTCCAGTGCATATGGGGTTATCTGCTCAACATTCAGAGCTAATGTTCCACCCATCTCTTCAAGGTTTTCTCTAATCATGAGGCCCTCTTTGTCCTTGCAGTATATTGTCCTAGGCTGGAACCCTTTCACAATTTTCCTAATTCCCTTGAACATGGAACAGATTTACTTCATCTTATGTAATTCCTCTAACACCTCTAGCTTTTTCTTTTCCCAGCATCTCTTCTTCCATCTCAGAACCTTCTTCGCCTCAAAGTGGTCACTAACACCTTTACGTGTATATCTGTATACATCACACATTTAATTACAAAGTTTCAGTCTCAAAATAGGGGGCAAGCTGTATCCAGATTAAGCTATTATTTTCCACAAAACACTGAGGAAAGTGCTTTTTCAGGCACTGCTGAGTTAATACATGTAGCCAGTTAGTCACTACATCACAGTACCTCCATAATCAAAGGTGCAAGAATTGAGAGGTAAGGTAAAGGGTAAGAATATAAATTCAGCCCTGTGCTCAATTAATTAAGCATGCTAACTTATGGGGGAATGGAGGTGTAGCTCCACCATTCTTGATCTCAGCACTAGATGGAGGTGAGTGGTCAGCTTCTTTCCCTGGTCACTTTACCCTTGGGAAAAGAGTGCATGGCACCCATTGAATAGGAGGCCAGGAATTTCAGCACTGAAGTTAATTTTGCAGGTACAGGCACTTTCTGTCCACAGCATTACATAGATATTTTCATGAAAGTGAAAATTCAAATTGTTGTTTTCTGGGTTATAACCCTGCCTAATCAGTATACTTCCGCCATTTTAAGAAAATCCTATTTGGACAAAAAGTAATCAGTGTTTACGTGTTCAACTGAAAGTTTTATGCCATAAGATTATATGTTTTATATAATAAGATTTGAGATTTTCATGGAAATGAAGATTTGTATTTTGATCTAGATTATGACACCATATACTTCGGTAGGTGTGTACAAATATCATCTGCCTTCAGGCAAATCCTAGTTGCACAGCTTCAGGCAAATCCTAGTTGCACAGCTAGGTGTTAAAACTCTGTTTTCATTATAAGATTTGAGGTTTTCACAGTGATGATTCATATTGTGATCTGAGAGATGACACTTTTTGTTAGGTGGATGCTAATGTTTCAGAGGAACCTAGAATTTCCATCAGGGAGAAATTGTGCCTTAAATTCCCCATGAACTTTCTTGTGCCTGATAAAAACAAGGTTGGAAGTCTGCATTTCATAGTAGGGTACATGTAGCTGCTGCATGCAGTCTGCACATTTGCAGTGTCTTCCCAGTATCTTTGATAACCATGCTAACAGTATTAATCAAGTTTTCAGTCCAATTCTTACATGCATGTCTAATAATGTGAAGATTTTTAATGTCATTAATAATTGCCAGTATTTACACTGTTTAAGATTTTGTTCATCCTTTTGCTGTAGAATTTATAAATCGGCATGGTCCATATTAATTTTGAATTATACTGCTGGTTGAATAGTCTATATATAGCTCCAAATTTTTGTTACTGTGATTACCATGGTTATTGCATTTTGGCAGGAGCTGGGATATAGCGGTATAATGATGAACCCTGGGCTGAACAGCCAGGATGTGATTCCTGGCAGGGGCAAGAAATTTTTCTCCCCTCTGGATTGTCCAAACTGTCTCTGGGGCCCGCCCAGTCTCTTGTACAGTGGGTGCCATGGGCTTATTGCCCAGGGATTAAAGCTGACTGCTGATCTCCATCTAATGCCAAGGTCAAGAATGGTAGAGCTATACCTCCACTCCCTCATATATCTAATGCCAAGGTCAAGAATGGTAGAGCTATACATCCACTCCCTCATATATCTAATGCCAAGGTCAAGAATGGTAGAGCTATACCTCCACTCCCTCATATATCTAATGCCAAGGTCAAGAATGGTAGAGCTATACCTCCACTCCCTCATATGTTTTCATAGTGTGTTAATTAAGCACCACACCATGAAATTTTCTACAGTCAATAATATCATGAATGCACAAACTTGTCAGGTGGGACCAACATCAGGACCACTACCAAACTGCAGTAAATTCTTGACATAGAAAGATGACCATGTGTGTTCATCCACATGTTTCAACTTGAAACTACTGGATGAATTCTGTTGCAATATGGTGTGAATACTGTGCCACTGGAACTCATCCCAACTGGTACTTTTCAGTTTGATGCTTAATAAAGCATAGAGACAACTTTACCTTTACCTTTACCTTTATATATAAGACATCGGTGGGAGCAGCCCTTATGTGTTTAATTAATTAAGCTCAGTGCCAAAAGAGTTATTATATGACAAAATTTGGATCTCATTATGATCTGTAACTTTTAATTGGCATATTTTTCATATGGTGTAAATTTAATGAAACAGAACAACTAATTTCTGGCTGTGTAGTATGGTATGTGTCGTATACTGGTCAGTGATGTTGGAATAGTAGATTTGTGTCTGCAGTGAATGAACATGTGTACTGATGAAATGTCCAAAATAACAACATACACATTTAGAGTATATTTGTACTACAACATACAGAGCACACTGTCCACATTTGTTATAACTGCATTGTGCTCAGTCCCAGAATTTTAAGGATTCATTTTAAAAACAAATTCAGGCTCTTCTTCCTGTGGCTTTGAGATTTTTGCAGTGTGCAGTAATTTCTGGACAGAGGCAGAAATGTGAAGCTCCAAAATGCTGGCTAATCAGCCCACCAGAAATCAGCTTTATTGTCCAGAAATTTGAGTACATGATCTTTTATCATTTTTCTCATTGACTGGCTTTGATCCAGTCAAAACTTCTACTGCAAAAATTCTGACTGTCCCTCTTCTTCCTTTCATTTTGAATTATTATAATTGACT